CCACAGCCGAACGTGGAAAGCGTGAAGATTCCGGCTTGGTGGGCTGCGGGCTGGAGCACCTGCTGCTCCTGCCGCCCACCACCGCTGTCGCCACGGCCGCAGTCGCAGAGAGTTGGAAATGTGATGAAGTTGGGTTGGAGTTGGCGACGTGGCTCGTACTAGTTGGGGAAAACGAACCAAGTTTTATCGAACCGACTTGGCTCTTTATCAACTGTCTCTCGAAGGCGTTTACACACGCACATTTTCACGCGTGCGGGTTAGCGTGTATCGTCTTCCCACCTCGGCATTCGTCTGGTTACATTTTCCGCCGAAAAATTGTTCGTGCAAATGGTCACTACCTGCTCTGCATGTGTTTGACGAAATTGAACCCAGATCACGTTTAGACTCATAGCTGTTCAGAATATTGTCAGCCAGGAGCGGAAAACCTGAAGAAAATTAGGAATCGATGGGTTTTGGTTATGTCCGTTTTATACGCAGCTTGTCAGACGCTTGGGTATACCAGTAGGGGTAAAAACTGTTATTTATCCAGAACGTGTATCATTTGGGAGGAGTATTGGTGGCAAGAACATCGGTTTGATTGAGCTATTCGTAGTATCTTCTTTAGAAGTGTGTGTGTGGTCTGAAAGTTTCCGCCAAATGGCTTTTACTTCTTTACCTACGTTTAGCAGTCACTGTATTCAAATAGTAAGAACTTCAAAGAAATTAATGAATAAACAAATGAACCTTTGCGATGCGCGTAATTATAGATTCTTATCGTGGTTACTGCTTGAAGATAGAGAGAATTTTCAATCGACATTAATCCCTAATGCATTGAAGATTCCAATTTCTTCACCCGGATCTCTTTCAGAATAAGCAGCTGGTATAGCTACTTCCGTAGCTCTGAAGCTCAGTAATATGATTAATTTACTGGAAAGGCATTTTCCTAGCTTGGGTGTTTTAGTTGGAATTGTGTACTTTTTGTTTTCTTCTTTGTTTTCCATTAGTCATATAAGGTATAAGAACACAAATGATGCCAGTTATATTGGAGAATACACCATTGTTAGAGAAAACCCTTTATTGTGACCATTGCGTCTTATAATGGTAAATTGTAGCTATGTATTTTCTAGGGTATTGTGCTTTTGAAGTATAAAAGGCCTTGGTGAACGCTGTAAAGTGAACTTCGACGACAGATCTGTTTTTCCTTCGTAATAAATTTGTTAACCAGGAACAGAAACGCAACGAGAACGTGTTTGCAGAAGTTGCCGGTCACGCATCACCAGCCATAAAACCAGTATTACACGCCGCGAATATTTTTTTCTGTCGTTTCCCCCTCAAAGACACGCTCGCGTTATTTAGTGTCCATTCTCTCCCGCGCTCCCCGCCGAATCCGCCGGCGGGCTTACTGTCTCCAACGCGGGTGTTCGTTGGAGCGTGCCGCGGCCAGCCGGAAGCGAGTCGCGCACGTCCACGGGGGCCGGAAAGACACAGCGCCGAGACGGTCGGGGTCGTATAACACCTCTCCAGAAGGTGGAGTTCGTTTCGCTTAGAGCGTTGTGCAAGCCTGGTCTTATCGCTCGGTTCGAGATCAGTGTTGCCAGGAACTCTCTATATTTCCGCGTGTTGTTCAGCAGTTTTCGATGTTCTATCCGCAATCCACGTTATGCCATACGGATTTGTAAAAATATACATTGCTTATTGTACACTTCAGTTATTTGAGTTTTTAATGTTCACAATGAATTTTTTAATTTGAGTTAGATAAATTTGTTCTTTATTTTTAATTTATTGTAATTATTTTTTATTTTCAATATGCGTAAAACATTTTTTGAGGATTTGTAGAATAGTTATGTATGCACCAAGGGCGTTTTAACGTTAGCACTCGTGGTACATACATAATTTTACTAATTAACTAGATATTACCTTGACTAGGTTTGTCTTTTCATATTTTCCTCCCATAATTCTCTTTCATAAATCTTACCTTAAGAGAACTTTGTTTCAAATTTCTCTCCTAACAACGATCCTCTAGATCCAGGAAAGTTATGCAGTGTTTATAGAGGTCTGTATCGAAGACAATAACAAGCTCTAACTGTAAAGTATCAGTAAAAATACATATATAAGTTTAAGCATGCTTTTTTACGAGATTAAACGTATAATAAATTGCTTTTTCAACTTTCTAAAGATTTGAAGACAAATAGAACATTTACAACACAACAAAATAAAATATTGAAGTGAAAACTTGTTTTCCAATTACTGATTAAATCCGTATATTGGCGCTCATGAATTCGCTTCTTTTATTTAGCAACATTGCCAAGGGGACAGTTGGTCATCGCTTCGCTTGGCGGGTTGTGCAAGCTTCGCCTCGGCGCTCGGTGCGTGCTGTGACGCTCCGGGACGCCACGGGGCTTGCGGGAAGCCAGGCGCCGCCCGGCGGAGCGCCTTTCCGGTGGGCGCGGTGGCATTGTTCGCCCGGCGTGCCGTGACGCCACGACCGGCGTTTTTGAAACGGCACGTTTCCCTGCCCCAACCTCCACCCCGCTGCTTTCGTTCGTCTTCGGAAGAATGACGCCAATTGATTTTTAGATGTTGAAGAAACCGCCGGGCGGCCGTGCTGCATGGTAAAATGAGGGGCGGCTGTCTCCGGTTTCGTTGCGACAAGTTTTATGCGGCGCCCGCCACCCGGCAGCTATCGTCTCTTTTGTCTTTCTGGCTTGAAGAAGTTTGTGTCCTGTGGCGTATTCTATTGTTATTGGTTTTGATGTGTTGCGTTATTGGTGATTAAGCGATGATGCAAGCCATTTGCTGAGAAATAATCTGCTGATGTGGTTTATTAATTGTTTGATTGTTGTAAAGCATTCAATGCATTGCAATTGATAATTTGGAAAAGTCCAAAAATCCAATCCATTTGGAAAAATCCAAAAATCCAAAATCCGGTCCCGCTGGCCTCCACCACTTGCACATCGTTCTCACATCATTTAAATCTCAATGGTCAAAGATGAAAAGATTCGTAGGCATGATCATGAGATCCCACGTGCACAGAAAAAAATAGTGGATTTTTAAGGCTTAAATTTAGTGCACCTGTATACTTACTTGCTTCTTTTCACGTTCTAAGGTCAGATACAAGCTTTAAGTTAATTCTGTACCCACTATGTCGAAATGAATGCCTATCGAAATCTCCCAGTTGAATAGGACGGAGAACCACTCCCTTTAAAGATTTAAAAAGTGTTCGAGAATTTCAAGTGGCGCACGGTCTTTTATCGAGAACTTTATTACTGCTCATGAAATAGTGTGTATGATCTAGATGACCGTCTCCTTTAATGCCTGACGTCAGAAAAGTATGGAACTATGATGGTGTCTTAAATATTAAGCTTAAAAACTCCACCAATTAATTTTG